TTTGAGGGGAAACCAAACCTTCCCCAGAATTAGTTCCCCTTTTTATTGTTTTGCTTTTTTGGGGTTCCCTTTGTTTTCCACTGCCGGGCAAAAAATATGTTTTTTTGCAGGGGTCCTAATTCCAGGCAAGAAACGAAAACCTTCTTTTCCCACTTTGAGGGGTCCCCCTTTGAGACAAAAATGCTTGGGACGCCCTCACTTGCCTGCTGAGATCGCACCGACTCAACTGCTAGGCTTCCCCGATCGCCAGCCCAAATCTTTGCGTCTTGCGTCCTTTTGGTAAAGTTAAGCAAACGGGTGTCGATTCCTTTTTTCCCATGGACATACACGGCTTCGGCTTGGCAAAGAAATTCAAGCAGTGCTTTGACCTTTGAAGAACAAAACCTCATGGTAGGAATTCGGTCGTTTTACTGCGACGTTCCTCCAAAAAGGTTGCAATAGATTAAATGTCGATACCCTTTCCAGATCTTTGGAGACAACCTGACATTGCCAGACTTAAGTCGCGTTTTTGTTTGTTTTTTTGTTTTTGTTTTTTTTATTTTATTTTGGGCTTTGCTTTATGCTGCCTTTCAACCAGAACAACCAACGTTTTTGCTCGGGGTCTCAGCCTGGTCATGATTAGGGACTCTTTGGTGGATATCATTGATTAATGGATATGTTTAAGTCCACCAGCCGTTTTTGAAGCGGAAGCGAAAATACCTCAACAGGAAGACCCTTTCGCTACATTTCCCTTTGTGGATGCCGGGAATAATGTATGGAGATGGGGTGGCAACGCTTTTGCAAATTGGGGCTGAGATTCCAACCATTGAAATTCCACTGCCACTGAGGCCTCTTGTGAACCGCACGATTTATTCATGACCGCAGGTGAAACGAGACCAAGGATGGGTACTAAGTACACAACTGCAGAGCTTGTGAGCACCATCTCACCTGCTGAGGCTGAGGTGAGATGCAAGCTGACCTGGCAGGAATTTGACTTCTGCCTGTGGCTTGCCTCCCTGAGCCCACTTCCAGAGCTAAGTGCAGCCAAAGTCGTGGTTGACCCTTCAGACTTTGTCGCTCAGAGGAAGCACTTAGTGGTGGGCTTCTCAGACCAGATCCCTTTGTGGGCGAAACCAACAGGGAGGAAGGCTGTGTTTGCCAAGGATGAGGTCTGGCAGCCACATGAGGTCTGGCAGCCAGTCTCCAACCGCTTTGGGCACGGACTCGTGGAGAGCTCGTGGATGGATGTGCTTCAGTGGTTTGGGCTGTTTTGCCCTGTCTTTGTGCTTCACTCTTTGGACAAACGCGAAATAGTTAAAGAACTGAAGTTTGAAAAATCCACCTTCATCAGGGATGGACGAAATCCATTTTGCACCTAAGAAACTATGTGAAACCATTGTTTGTCGGTATTTGCAGAATCATCAGAAGCCAGGGTTTCTGCACGGTGGTGCGACATGGATTTCGTCCATCCACAGTTTTTGTTTTTAAATAATACATATATATTTATACAAATGTACATATATATATATATATGTATCTAATGCTGACGAAATACGGAGAGTCAGAATATGTTTTTCAGTGCACCTCAGTCAGACAGATGTAACCGCCAAAATGTGTGGCTGGATTTGTGGGAACTGGATTTGGATTACAGCCCCTGGTTCTTGTAGAGGGTGCCACCTTCCAAACCGCTGAGTTGGGAAGCTGATGAGATGGCAAGTTTTGCATCTGGGAGCTTCGAACCCACGGGTGATTGTTGGGAAATGACCAAATCTCCAGATTTTAAGCCCAAACCACGTTACGAGGTGAAGTTCGCTTCTGGGCAGCAGCTATTGGAAATAGGGTTTCGTGCACTTCCAGTGACAGGGTACCTCAGAAGGGATTTTTGCTCAATTGGCACGCGCAACGGAGTTCCCTCTGGCTTCCCTTTTGAAACCAAAGTGTTCCCAAGAAAGCAGCCGCACATGTTGACCCCGGATTAATCAACCCCTGTTTGTTAATATGGGTGTGTTCCCCTCCAAAAGTGATAAATCCCCAACTAAAACCGGGGAAAAGCCCCCCCTATATGAATAAACAGGGGTTTATTAGTCGCGGGTCAACATTAGACTGGTCAACAGCCACAGCGTCTCGCTCGCGAGCGAGCTCCTCGCGCGCCCGTTGCCAGTCTCACAAAGCCGCCCCCCGAGCTTCCGGCGCAGCTCGCGGCCGAGTATGAGGATCGGATCGACGGACGAGTCCGGCGACTGTGGGTTGGTTGGTTGAGAAAAGTGGTTTTGAATCAATTGAAGCAGCTCACAGTTCCTGGATTTGAGTGTACTTTTTGGGAATTGAGTACTATTCTCAGTTGTTCAGTGGCTCCCTTTTTCCTTTTTTGGTGGCTGCCCCACGAACATGGTCTTCCCAAAAAAGGGTTCCCTTTTAAGCTCTTCCGCTCCCTGTCTTCCGGATCCTAGCTCACCTCTTCAACCAAGTTGAGGCCTCTCATTGGGACATGCCCCGGATTTTTGGTACCGCTAGGCTTGCTGTACTGGACAAAGGTGCGGGTCCGGCCCCCCTGTCCAAAAGGCTCATTGCGGTCCTGCCCATTGCCTATCTGGCGTGGTCTTCTGCCCGCTTTCGTGCCTCGGCTGATTGGCAGAGGAAGGTCCTTCCCTCCGCTGTGGTGGGAGGGGTCCCGGGTCGCCGGGTGGACGACATCACCCATCACCTTGCCCTTGACCTCCATGAGGCCAAGGCCACTGCTGAGCTCTTTGCTGGTATTCAGATCGACCGCTCCAAGTGTTTTGATCGCCTGATGCCCTCACTGTGGCTATCCTTTCTGCGCTTGGCTTCCCGCGTGCCGTTGCTAACGCCTGGTGCTCCAACTACCGGAGTTTCTCTCGCTATCTCTCCTGGCGTAGCTCAGTTCATCCCACACCTCTTGCGAACTGCAACGGCATTGCAGAAGGCTGCTCCATGTCAGTCTTGGCTGCCAATGTTCTTATGGCCGCATGGTCGCTTCTCATCCAGCACTTTCCTGGCGTGGACCCCCGCGTCTACGTGGACGATGGCTACATGTCGGTCACGTCTCCCGAGGCGGTGGAGAGCCTTGTCTTGGCCGTCAGAGCCACCTCCCTCTTTGACACCCTTGCGGGGCAGCAGTTCAACCTTCACAAGTCGGGTTGGTGGTCCACGCAGGAGAGCTTTGCCACCCAGCTCCAGGAAGCTCTCCCTGAGGCCCCCAGGCTCCGGGCTCTTCGCCCCCTTGGGGTGTGCATCAATTTGGATCTCCGCGGCACCAGAAATGCAAGGTCGGAAGCCATCACTCGATTCCGGCGTGCCCTCCGGGCGGTGAAGGCCTTACCCATTGGCCCCTTTGCCAAAGCAACCTTTGTTGCTCGCAAAGCGATGCCCATGCTCACTTACGCGGCTGAGCTCAACTTTATCCCCAAGCAGTTGCTGTCTACCTTGTCGTCCGAGGTTGTTGAGGTCCTTTCGGATGGACGGCCTGCGTGGAGGTCCCGTGAACTCCTCCTCGCCGTTGTCCATCCGGGACATCTGGTGCATCCTGAGTATGCCCTCCCCTACCGGGCACTGCTCAATGTTGCCACCCACCTCCAGCGCTCCGAGGCCTTTGCCCTCAAGTGGCGGCTTGCGTTCACTAACCCAAGGGTCATGCCCTCTACCTTGGTGGCCAACATCCTTGCGGCCGTCACTGCCTGTGGTCTTCGTTTTCAGCCCCCTGCCAGTGTTGCTTTTGAGGCTGGCCCCTGGCTTTCCCTTTTCTCTGTTTCCACCCGCTCGCTTCGTCGCTTGCTTAAGTGGACCATTGCCCAGCATGCGTACCGCCGGGCTTGCAGGGGCAAGAGGGCCGACATCATTAGTGGTCCGTCTGGGCTCCTTGATGTCGCGCTCACCCGCTCCCCCTGGAGTGTCCCTGCTGCCCCTGAGTGGACTGCCTTTGCACGCCTCTTTCCGTGCAACAAAGCTGTTGCCCCTGCGGTTGTGGTCGGCTCCGCTGTTACGGCTGATCGGCTGTATGCTGCTTCCCTCTCGGACACCCCTCTGTGTCGCTATTGCGGTGTCCATGTTGAGACCATTGAGCACCTTACTCAATGCCAGGCCTTACCACTTGAGGTTGGGCCGCCTCCCCTGCAGCGGGAAGCTCAAGGCCCGGCTTTCTTTACCCATGGGCTCGCTGAGGTCCCGCCCGACTTGGTTTCTGCTTTCTGTCGGAACCAGCCGTGGCCTGACACCTCTCTCGTGCCTGGCCTTGCTGCCCCGGGTCACGCCCATCTTTGGACAGATGGCAGTGTGTTCCTCCCACAGCACCCTTTCCTTGCTGCGGCGGGGTATGCGGTTGTTACCCCCTACTCGGTTCGTGCTTCTGTCTGGCCCGGTACCTGGGGTCTTCGCTGACAATTACCGGGCTGAAGTTTATGCTTTGGTCCAGGCTGCCACTCAGACCCGAGGCTCCCTCACTCTTCACACTGACTCACAAGCCGCTGTCACGGCATGGGCCTCCATCTGCGGTTGTGGTCGGGTCCCCGACCATGTTGCTGCTGCTGATCTTTGGAAGATCCTCTGGGATCTGTGTGCGGCCCGCTCGGCTGGTGGTTTTCCTCTCCACCTCCACTGGATCCGTGGGCATGTTGCCATCTCCGGCGATCTGCCCCCCCTTGAGAGGCTCCATGCGGTGTGCAACCACGCTGCTGATCGTGCTGCCAAGCGCGCTGCACGGGCAGCCCTCACTGTCCCTTCTGCTCGCTTGGCTTGGGCTCCAAAGGTTGTTCGCTGTCCTGCCACGCACGCCCCTTGCCCCCTTCGTCTGGTCCTGTTGTGGATGCTCCCTGCCCTGCCCCGTAGACCCCCCCCCCGTAGTGTCTTGCCGAGCCGTGGTTTTTACTGCCCCTCCGCTGTCTCGACCACTGGACTGGCAATGGGGTGCAGCGTCGTGGACAGCTTGGCTTGCTTTTCTTGCAGCTGCCGTTTGGACGAAGAGGCCGGATGAATGTCAGCCTGGTCTCGAGGTCGCATTTATCCTCATGCGTCGCCACCCGCTGAACCACTTCAAAACGGCAAGGAGGCATCGCTCGGCGCGCCCCGGGCTGTGCCTTCCTGGAAGACCAGGCTTGGGCGGTACACTGGTGCCACTTGGCCCAGGGGAGCTTTCCTGGGGTTGCCTTGGTGATCACCACCGAGGAGAAGGTCTTCCTGCAGTGCGTGGTCGTCAAGGCAGCCCAAGGACTGGGGTTTCTCCCTGGGCTCCCTGGCCTAGCCCTTCAGTGAGGTGCCTTCGGCACCGGGGGTTTCACGCAGCGCTCCGCTGCCCAATGTGCCACGTGTAAATTGTGGCATAGCCCCCCACACGTCGGCTGTGTGGGGCACCAGAGGCCCGTTTTCAACTAGGTCCAGGTGGCGGCATGCCCCTGCGACCTGCGCTTCCTTGACGACACGGAGGCGCCTCGAGCCAAAAGGGTTCCCTTTTTTCCAGGGCGAAGACAAACCAACCCTAGCCGTCTTTCAAGGAGGTTGGTTGAAGCAGTCGGTGCTTAAACGTGTGAAGTGTGAATCGCCTATCCCAGGGCGGAGTGATTGCTGTTTGGCACGTGTCAACCAACTTGAAACTTGAGGCCTGTTGGCTTGCATTGCCAGTGAGCGTTGCTTTCGAGCTAACTTTTTCTTGCTTTGGGATGATTGCCCTGTTAGATGATTTGCCTGAACTGTTGATTCATCCAGAGTGTTACGTGGAAGGCAAGGGTTTTCTTGGTGGCTCCAAGCCATCCCCCTCGATTTTGAGGTTTATGTGTGTAGTGTCCACCAAGTTATTTTTTCTCCGCGTGTCGGAACGAGGCCTGTGCGAAAAGTTGTTGGAGTTTAAGTGTGTTTATTGAGGGCACCCTGATTGAAGGACGCCCAAGGGGAATCCACATCTTGACACATACCCCGCAGCTCGTGTTCACGGGAACACCACCATCCCGCGCAGGAGCAGCAGGAGCATTTGGGCGAAGGAGCCTTCGCCATTGCTTGGACCACAAAGATCGGGCCCGGGTGGGTCATCGTGTTTCTATGGCTGTGGGGTCAAAACCGTTTTGGGATCCCATTTTTGTTGGTAGGTGAATGAATTCACCCATTTTGGGGAACCGATTTTTAAGTGGTTGGATTGGGATGTTCACGGGGGGTACGATTTGGATTCATGGCCTTTTAGGTATATGCATATAAATACATGTATATATACGTATATATTATACGTGTACATGTTCATCACATGCTATATTCCTAAGCATCATTGCACCCTCCATTGGGGAGGGTTAGCTCCAGAAGGATTGAGACCTCAACAAGGCCAATTACAAGGTAGCAAGATTGTTAGGGGCATACGGCATAGGGTGTTTATGTATAGATATATACAGATGGTGCTATATGTATGTGTATATGTATATATGGTCACCCCCCCCCCCCCAGGGTCTACCTTTTCTCTGTTGAAGGTGTCAAGTCTACTCCGTGTGCCTCGTTCTTTGAGATGCCTGAAAACACTGCAAAATACCGTGCTTTTGTTTGCGTTTTAACTTCTGTACGACAGCACACGTTTGCTTAGTTTGGGCTTGAAAGGCAACAAAGCGAAAACGGAATCCGTTTTCAGATTTGAGTCTGGCTTTATTTGAAAACACTGCTTTGCACAGTGGTTTTGAGGACAGCAGGGAACAAACATTGAACAAATGATGTGTTTTTGCACATGCCAAACAAATCTCCAGACCAATCTTGGGAGTCTGGGAATACTTGGCCATTGTTTGTTTAGCCACATGTAATCTAAATCATATTTGGGAATGAGTTACTTTCTTATGTTCAGAAGCGAATTGAAGTCTGTCTGCTTTAAAGTATATTAAAACTCTACTGAAATGTTAATTTTCATTATTTGGAAAGGCATTCCTATTCAAGTTCTGATTAGATTTAGAAATTATGGTGAGTTATGAACTGTGGTGGACTATGTCCTTACTAATTCTATTCAATATTCTAATTCAATTCGGAGCAAAATCTTATTTGGAAAGGACTGCATATTTGGACATGTTGGGGGACTCCAGGCTCCAAATTTTGGGGCTTGGAGAATCCAACATTAGACACCTCGAGGGTTCTGATCTCCAGATTCTATTTTTCAGGTGTTTCAAAATGGACATGTCAAGGGATTAGAGATCCAATAAAACGGTGTAGCACACAGTGTTTTGCAGAAATAAGTCAGATTGTGTTCTCTTGGACCGAAGATTGTTTTTTCCCCACACAACATTTTTCCCTTCAACATTCCCATTCAATTCGCAGTATTTGGAAAGGAATCTACATTAGACATGTTGGAGGACTCCAGGCTCCAAATTATGGGTCTTGGAGAACCCAACATTAGAAATTTCGAGGGTTCTGATCTCCAGATTCTAGGTTTCAGGTGTTTCATTTCACCATGGACATTTCAAAAGATTGGAGGTCCAACAAAATGCTGTAAGACCCAGTGTTTTGCAAGAAATTGGTCAGATTGTGTTCCCTTGGACCGAAGATTGTTTGTTCCCCAAACAACTTTTTCCCCTTCAACATTGCAATTCAATTCGCAGTATTTGGAAAGGAATCTATAGTTGGACATGTTGGTGGACTCCCGGCTCCAAATTGGAGAATCCAACATTAGGCTCTTTTTTTTGAGGGTTCGGATCTCCAGATTCTAGGTTTCAGGTGTTTCACCATGGACATTTCAATTGAATGCTGTAAAACACATTTCATTTGCTACGCATTAAGCCTACATAAGGCTTATAAACTTGCACAAAACTTGCAACAAGGCAACGCCCGGGAAGTCTTCATGGTCTCTGTATCCTTGAAACGGGGGGGAAGTGGGGGGGGAGGAGGTTACTGGTTTGTGGAGCGCTTGGAACCAGCTTGCTGGTGCTCAGGGTTTCTGTGACCCCTTTCTCAAGACCCAGCCTGGTTTCTTTTCAAAAACGGAACCGCCATTGTGGCTGGGCAAAGTTGCATTGCCTTGCTTCGCTGGGTGTCGCGACGGGCCCGAGCCGGGAGCAGCCAGAAAAGCCGACTCATTGTGACTGCTTTTGTTTGCGGGATCTCGCAGCGCAGGCAAAAGAACAAAAGGCATGGGCAGGCATGCCCAGATCCTCGCCCGTCACCCCGTCACCCAGAGCATTCATTTCACCAGCCCATCGAGGTCACACTGGGCGTGGACCCAGCACCTACCCGGGGCTAAAGGGTGTGGACATAGAGGTGGCGGAGCAAATCTGCCACGTCGCTGTGCGGTGGCAGGATGTCCCCTTCAATTCACTTGGCAGATGTTGTATAGAGATTGATTCCCCATTCTTTGCAGACCATGCATGTTGCACAATGATAATTCTCTGGCCCTGGGCGGTGTGTGTTATCGGAGTAAGGTGCCAGGGGCTTTGGAAGGGTTCTCATTGTCATTGCGTGCCAGCCCTGCAGCCTGCCTGCCACAGAGGACCAGGATTTGTTTTCTGGTCTTGTGGCCGGGTCACGTAACAACACGGCTCAACCAGGCCATTTGGCTGGGGCATCAACAGACAACGGCTGTGGACGCAAACACGGCAGGCGGTTCGGGACGCCTGTTCGTCGATTTGGGCCAGGGACTTCCACGCTTGGCTGGGCACTTCCCACTCGCCCTCTCAGTCCTCCCCGGCCTCTGCAGGACCATTCTTGTCTAAGATGCGTTTTGCTTTGAAGAATGGGTCCCTCCCAAGAGCTTCAAAACTGCACTCTACCCACTCCTTGCAGGATGTCAACTCCTTCCCAAGCAGATGCAAGTTAAACAACAGCGCAACTCTTGTGTGCAAAATGGGTCCCTCGTGTGTGGAGAACGGCTTTGGCCTTTTGTGTGTGTGTGGAGAACAATTTTGCCCCCTGACTGGAAATCAGCAGGACTCAGAAACTTACGCGCCACATGGAGTCGTTCGGAGCACACATCTGCGCGGCACCGTTCTCAGTCGTGCAAGATACTGCCTGCCTGCATGACTGACAACTTGCACCCACCCCCCAGACTTCTCAGGTGCCCAGGTGTTGCCTTGTTGCAGGAACCGTCAAACCCTTGACATAGTTTATAAACGTTCCTGAAAGTTCATAAACTCTTCGCTGTTGTTACTCAACAACTCAACAGACTTGTCACCCACACATCATATGCAACAACACTTCTTGCGCATATGTGCTCACACTCCTTGTCTTTAAAATAAGGGGATTTTGGAAAGGTAGGCCAGCCGAGGGGGGGGGGGTGAGCACAAACACACACATATATATATATATATATATAATGAAAACTTGGTGGTTCCCAGCCACATCCTTAGGGCTTTAGGTTGTTCAGGGTTTAGTGGGGTTTTCACCTGCCCCACTACAAGTGTAATCTTTTAGCAGGGCATCTGAGCCCAGTGTATACATAATTCACAGACACACCCTCCCCAAAGCCAACATAGAACCTGCCCAAGGCTTGCTGGAAGACTATGTTTCTTTTAAGGGTACCCTCAGGTTCCTTTTTTCGGGGGGGGGTATGGTATAACCACAAATTTCTAAAAGATGGTTCCGGTTTGCAAACTAACCTTAGTCCCAGAGCAACATGGAGGATATGATGGTCACACCTCACTTGGCGCGAGGGTAGTGGTTATGCGGGAGTGGCAATACTCGCAGCTTTTGATTTTTTCTCCTCCCACATTTAAAGAAACTTCTTTCGGGGATCCCCACAAACTTGCCAATACTAAATTTAGATTAGGCCAACGCTAAACTTAATTACTGCTCACGACCCACGTTGAAACTCAGCAGGTGAACCTTACTTAACAGTGTCCTTCTCACTTCGACTCAAGCCGCCTACCTACATTAACAAACCTCACCCCTGAAGAAACCTGTTCCTAACTTTCTAATGAATTAATGAACCAGAGTTCTTTACCAGAGTTCTTTTTGCGCCCACCGAGCAGGTACAAAACTGCATTCCTGCACCTCTGCTGCAATAATGGCACTACCCAGAATCATGGCCAAGCCCTGCCGCCACTGGCTCCCACATTCCGAACTCCAAGGCTCCAAATCCAAAACCCCAAGCTTCACCAGCATCAAAACCTAAGACTCTTCATCCTTGCATGGCCTTCTCCACAGCAAGGCTCAGAAAATTGCGACCCCCTAAAATAATAGCACCACCCAGAATCATGGCCAAGCCCTGCAGCCAGTGGCTCCACATTCCCAAGCCCAAACTTCACCAGCGTCAATACTTGCAATCCCAAAAATGTAGCTTGTGCTGAAACCTGAGACTTTTGATCCTCGCATCGTCTTCTGCACAGCAACCGACATGAATGACCCCCCCCCCGCCACAATTACAGACATATTTTCCTAAGTTCGAAAAAAGCGAAACCTTAGGCCCGAAGACTAAATCAGTTGAAGCTCCTTTTGACACATCCAGATCCGGAGCCCAAGCCCAAGCCAAGCCTCCCCGCCCACCCTGGAATTCCAGACCTGGAACACTACTCCATAACGAGGGGGGGACCCCCTGATTAATCAAAGCCGGCGATTACACAACAGGAACATCATCGCCTCTGTTTCGTCGCTTATCTGCTTTTATAGCAAGCTTTAAATGTATGTGTGAGCGTATGTATGTTCAGTTTGTACATAATGTGTATATATATAATTACACAGATACATGCACACGAGATATCTATTTCTCGTTTGGAGCCTTTTGGGATACACCCTCAGCGCTACATGACAACTGTCCTCAGGCTCCCTTTGTTGTGAGGCACCCCCCGATACCGGTTCGAGATTTGGCATAGATCCCTTCCGCCTGGAATTGCAGTGTGCCTTTTCGGGTCTGCTGTGCTAATGTTGTCCCCGGATCGAAGTAGAACCCTGCCGATAGAACCCTGCCCATGAATTGGGGCATTTCCTCCAAAAATGTGGTCTCAGAGATTTCTCAATCCGGGGTTCCCATGACCTAGTATCATTATGGAGCTTGTGGCAGAGCCCAGCGAGTGGACCAACCAACCAACCAACCAACCAACCAACCAACCAACCAACCAACCAACCAACCAACCAACCAACCAACCAACCAACCAACCAACCAACCAACCAACCAACCAACCAACCAACCAACCAACCAACCAACCAACCCAAAAAGTCAACCAACCCCCAACAAATGAAAGTCGCCTCCCCTCCTTTTCAAGGTGTTTGAAATCCTTGGGAGGTTCTTGGGTGCGCGGGGATGGGCAATGCGCTAGGTTCGGCGCCTGCGGCGGCGCAAAAATGGGGACTTGGCTGGGGGCCAAGGGGCCCCCTCATGGTCCATGGGTTGTTTGGGTCACATCCACTATATCCCTTAGATGGGTGTGGAGGGTGCAACCACCCAAAAGAGGACTACTCATTTTGGGTGCCCAAACAAAGACACCCGCTGTAATACTTTTGAGCATTTTGGGGTCCATTTGGGGTATGTAAGTAGAAAGATGGCTTACTTGCCCATTGGCCCTGTGCTCTGACTCCCGAGTTCTTTTGCAATTTTGGGGAGAAGCAGAGAGTGTGAGCTCTCGGCCAATCCGCTGAGTTGAGGTTTGGAGGAGGTAACTTGGAATCAACCAGGAATAACCGGGGTGTGAAATTTTCAATCAGCACCAGGGCTTGCTTGAAAAAGACAGGAAAGCATCTTGAAGTACCCCAGGAGAGCGTTTGCTTTGCATTCGTAGGCGAATGCAGGCGATGCGATGTGTTCTCGTCGGCTTCAGGTGTTGAGTTTGACTTTCTCAAGGTTTCTGAGCCATTCCCCTCTTTGGAATTTCCCAAAAGTGCCATGTCCTCAATAGACACCACCAGCAAATTGATCAACTTTTTATTTGGGGACATCCAGCACTGGATTTCTGTTTTTTTTTGTCACCTGCGGCGCCTTGGGGCAATTGCCATCGGTCACGAAACCAAATGTACATCGGATATACTGGTGAAGTGAGACAGGTGAGACAAAGAGAAGCCTTATGAACGAAACAAAGAAAACAAGGTACCAAACGGACAACGAACCACGCAGACACGCACAAACCAAAAGTTGATGTTGTTGTTGTGCAATGCCATCTGGGGAAATGTCGAAAGCACAGATAAGGTGGGCGGCACTCATGATGACCGCAGCAGAAGACAAAGGCTTGTCATTGCATGCGAGATCACTTGGGCTACCGGCACCGCAGAGACAAGGTTTCCTGGAAGAAAACTCGGAAGGCGGCGTGATCTTGAAGGAAGCAAGCAAGAAGTCCAGGAGAAAGCAGACCACTACCTAAGACTGCTTAAAAGTGCTGATGTGCGTCAAGACATTGGGGAAGAGGAGACGATGAAGGATTCTTTGGCAAAAGCAGCTGCATTGGCATCGGAAAAACGTGACCACAAGAAAGAATGGGCTCAGGAGACTCAGGTCAACCCACTTGTGAAATCCCTTTTCCCTGACTTTAAACGACACGTGGGGTTGGATATGGTAGAAAAGGCAGCAAGGATCTTGAAGAAGTTCCGTGAGGGTGCTTACGTGGAGTGAGAGCCACAAGATCCCTTGCGACCGATCTTAAGCGCAACATGAAAATAAGAATATTTTTAGCCGTAGAAAATTTGAGACACATCCAGCACTGGATTTCTCACCAATGGTTTTCTGAAGGTTTTTGTCGTTGAGAATGGTTTAGGGTAAAAACTGCTGGCTTGGGTATGCGTCCGCTCTTTTTGTTCAGGGCGGTTTCAGACAGGGGAGGGGTACATTAGGTCTCCTTATCTCATCATCATTGCCAGAGTTAACTAATCTTTTCGTCTTTGGTTGTTTTGGGTTTCTTCCATGTCTCATGTTTGCCAGCAACAAGTTAATTGCTTTGCCTGGCTCAGCTTTTATCCCTAGAGCACAGGCACTCAACATCGCCCAACTTGGGATGTTCGAGCTACTTAGTAAGCAGGTTATGACCATGGTGTGGACGGCAACTGGGGATAGCTCCCTTAGCTCCTTGGTTAGAGCCTACTTCCTAAGCTTGAACTTCCAAGTGCGACCAAAGCCCCCCCACACTGGCAAAAATACGCAGAGCCTTATCTTTCAGCGTGTCGTCATTCAAACCAACACAACGTGGTGGTTTCCAAATCTACTAGCGCCCTTGTCCTTTAAAAAAAAAAAATCTCATGCCAGTCCAAGTGAGCACTCAAGCGCTGTCCAAGATTCGAAGCAGAAACTGGGCCCCGCGGTGATGTTCTAACTCCACTTAAGGGGACTGAGACCGAGTTCATTTCTAAAACCCTACCGTGGATGGACGAAATCCTGCGCCACCTAAGACAGCCCGGAATGATGATTCCCCTGCAAATACCAGCAAACAATGGCTTCCCGTGGTTTCTTGGGTGGTGCAGGATTGCGTCCATCCACAGTAGGTCATTCCTTACTGAGAACGAGCAAGAAAAAGCTGTAGGGAGCTCCCCGGAAAACCTCTTCCGGGATTGGGGTCTCCAGGTGGCCCTAAAGGTGGTCGAGAAGTGCCCACGGGAACTTGGTTTGGAGACGCGTCGTTTCGGGTTGCCATTGGTCAGGCGTGGTGCCTTTGTTCCAGTGGTTCTTGTTCCATGGTAAAGGTGTCTCCATCCTTTGCCATTGGCATCCTTAGAGTGAAGTGGGCCAAACAAAAGAAACTCACGCCCCCTTGCGGCAGACTTTGTTGGCCAAAAGTGGGCACTGTATGTTCTATCAGCCCAGCTGCTTTTTTTCACGTAGCGTTCACGGGAAGCAATTCTCACTAGTAAGTTTCAAGGGTTGTCCGCCCTGATTGACACCCAAATGGGTGAACCCAAGAGGTCATCGCCGGACGAAACTGGGCATCGCCGGACGAAAGACCAAATTGGGCATATGTTTTGCCCTTTTGGCATTCCATCATTTTTCCCTTACCAGCAACCAGGCGGGCAGGTAGCGGTAGGTGTCTCTACCGTTGGTCAGGGACTCCCGCCTGGCGCTGTTGGAAGTTCCGATGTTTGGATGGGAATCAACTCACCTTTGGGGCAGCCAGCCCCATGCCCTCAATCCGGATTCTACTCACACTGTTTGCCTTTTCCACGGTTTGGGGGGATAAATAAGCAGCCATCCTGCCATCCTGGTAGTGTAGAAACCCTTGCAAAAGGGAGGCTGTTCACTTCTGTGAGAAGGCAAACCCCTGAAATTCACATCCAGATTGGCGTTGGTGGTTGGGGGTTCTTGTTAGGGCCTTCTTCACTTTGGCGCAACCACCCCTCTATTCAAGCGACTCATATCGAGGGGGTTCTTACAATGCGGGTTCCGATCGCTTGCAAGACAATCAGGTTTGCAGCATCCCGAAACGCAGCTGTTAGAACCCGTTCTCTGTAGAAGCGATCCTGTGCAAGTACCGGCGATGTAAGTTCAACAGGTCCCTAAATCTATGAATCCGTCCGCCAGGTCTATTGTCTTTTATCCGGGGGTCGCCTGGGCGAGCTGAAAAACCAGGTACCCCTTGCACATCCGGAACATGCTGCCGCAGCTGCAGCGCGAGGCTGTGCTTGTGCTTTTGAGGTGTTCGGTCAAAAAAGTGGTGGGCAATTTGCACTCAGTTTTCTAGGGGTGGATTCCATTTCCATTCTTTTCAACCCTCGTGCTTTTCAAAAACCGCAACCCTTAGATTTTCCGCACACACTAGGGGATCGATCCAGTTCTTGTCCTCCTGGACCAAGGAATCTCACCAACTTTTGAGCATGGCTCATAGCAACTGGCCAACTTTTTCGGGGGCACCCCGAGTCCTATGTTTCTGGGGGGCACCAGCATCCCATGCGGGAGCTTGAAGGCGGATGAAGGGGTAGATGTTGGGGGACAAGTCACATGTGGTGACCAGAAGCGAATGAATCCATATATCATATATGATATATGCATACAGATTATGCATTTGAGAGCAAGGCCCAGATAGCGCAACTTCAAGGTCTGAGCTGTTTTTGTTTCTTGCTTGCCAAATTGAGTGGCAGGCCGCAAGAAAGCCGCTTCCGGTTTCGGATCCAGGTCCGCATCCAGGGCAAGTTGCAGCACCGGCACATCCTGCGACTCCTCTCCTGCTTCGAGGATGAATGGCGCCCTATTGCCAGACAGGCTTGCCTTGCAGTGGACCCAACGGGGAAGGTTAAGCCTAGCCCTTGTTCTTGGTGTTCGTTCATGAGTGTGTGTTTTTTTGAGGGGACCGCCCAAAAATGGTTGGTTTTCCTTTTGGTTTCTCAATCAAGCCACGAAAAAGGGGTACAGCCAGAAAATGACTCCCATATCCTTGGATTCCCCTGGAAGACAATCGAGCATGAGTAATTGTTTGATTTTTTGCGTGCCCCTCAATCTAACCGCGGGACCAGCTCCGTTATGCGAATTTACCCAACATTTTCAAAGTTGCCCCTCGACATGGTACGGCAACACCCAGTTTCTGACTTTGATAGCACCACCGAGCATCTAAGCGCAAATGAAAGGCTCGGTAAAGCTTGAGATCCCTCCTTTTGGTTGAAGGTCTAAGTCTTTTCACGAGAGAGAGTCCTGCTCCTCCGAATCCAGTGTTTCAGCAGCTGGCTTTTGAGTGAAACTATGTTTGGGGTAGTTTTAAAGGGACACTGGAAGGACGTGACGCCACCCAACAACTGTATATTCCAGGGATCGCATGGAATCTCCACTGGTGCCGCCAGCCAAACCAATCCCGCAAACTACTATGCACAACTTGGATTTAGATGGGATTCGACAGATAGCTAGGAGAGATTGATAGATCAGAGGATGCGAGATAGACAGATAGATGGTCAGATAGACACATAGGCATGGGTCAAAATGAAATGACCAGGAGAGAGCAGGTTTTAGCCCATGTTGCCATACAGAGTCCCATGTTGGGTGCCTATTTTGGACCCACAGCCACAGATCGACAGATGATGTTGTCCAAGCCGGTGGTTACATTCAAGCAGACGGCGAGTCGGCTCGCAAACGGTGAACCGGCCCATTTGGATCCACCCGAGTCGCTTGGAAGAAGCGGTTGCGCGGCTCTTGGGAAAATCCCAAGACTCAAATTGCGACGAAGAACATGGGGCAACCACCAGCACACCCCCAACTTGTGTGCGTTTTTCTTTCATGTCCAGAATCCCACGTGCGGCAACCAAGAGCAGTTGGCCCCCGGGTGTTGGAAATTGGGTACCTCATTTGGGTAAGTTGCAGCCTCCAGCTGCTCAGAAGCCTAGCGCAGTCAAGCAAAAATTCAAGAGGTTCCTGTCCAGAGCTTGGGTTCCTGAGCCTTGCATGATTTTGGTCAGAATAGGAACCCAAGCGTTGGAGTTTGCCTGTCTTATGTCCATCGGTCGGAAACTGATTCAAGCCCAAACTTACCCAAACCTGAGAAAGCTTGGCCGATGTCCTCAGCATGACCCAACCAATTTCTCGACTTTTGCCAGGCGACTTGAGGTCAACCCCAAGGGAAAAGAGTCTGCTGAATGAATTGACCATAGTGAACGATACATTTGATGAGGATACTAAATTGATATAACACTGTGTTAAAACTAGCTGTTTTATTGTGTATATTTTATCCCCTACCGATGCGCCAGTTTCGTTTCCTCTATTGGGCCAGCACCCCTTCTCTCCGACTCATTCCCGGCCATCCGCCATGGAGCTCGGGAGGCGGGAAGCGAAACCGGTTCAACTGCAGTGCCAAGGGGCCAAGTTCGGGAGACAGTTCTCCCTACTTGTGTGTGTATGACCACTCTGTGACCCAGTGTACCTGTGCCAATTTGGAACTTGCTGGATTGTACAAGTGTGTGTTCCCAACCGCTTAAAGCTGTGGGGACTCTTTAAGCCCAGGTAGGCTCGGACGGGGTGGTTTGGGGCAGCTTTGGAGGGTTCCGGGCTGTTGAGGATATCACCTGGGTATTTGTAAGAAACTTTCTATGTCCGACCAACAAAAAGGGAGGTCTCGCGGGGGGGGGGGGTTCTGTTTGGTTTCCAAACCCAACCCCAAAAAGAGTAGATTTCTTTCAACGTTTCATTTTGACCATATGTCCCTTTTCTAAGGATTATGTCCAAATTAGAGAGCTCCTCTGGTGGTTGTTGTCCTTTCAAACTATCTCAAAAAAGGGGCGGGGTCCACATTTTGAAGTGAGGGTTCGGGGCGCAGCACTAGAGCCATACTGAAAACCTGGATAGATGAAAGATTAGCAAGGGACAGTCCCAACCACAAACAGTGGCTGCCCGGCCTTGATTCTGTGCATGGATTTGGGTAGACCACTTGAATACCAGGTTTGTCTTTTGACTCAAGAAGTGACACAAGCCACAAGTGAAACCAGCCCATCCGCAAGACTCCCTTGCTACCTTCCGAGTAGTGAGAACTTTGGGGATTTTCTTCACTGTTTTGTGTGTTAGATATGGCCATACATATAAGAGTTGAAACCACCTCCTTTAAGTGCTTTGTGGTTGTCTGAATTCCCACCAAGCAAAAAACACGGCAACAAACAACAAGTCAAAACAAACACATGTCCACCATTTTGGTTCGCTTGCAATTCACACCCTGCGGTCCATTCGGAATCCGGAACGGACATGGATTCTGTACGACCGCGCGCGTTGAAGCAAGCCGTGGGCTCCATGAAAAGTGTAGTTGAAGTAAGACATGACAAGCAGTGCCCGCTTCCAGTTGGTTTGGTCATGAACCCTCAATTCAATTGAGACGACAATTCTGGATTATACCTGAAAGCTCACTGCTCCAATGTGCGTGGTTGCGATGAGGGGTTTGCGCCCTAAACCCGTTGTTCGGCCGGCACTCCAAATCCACACTCAACTTCTGACTCACCTTGAACCCATCTTAATTGTAAACGCTGCGCGTTGCCCGCCTCGGCCCAGCCGAGCGCGCAGCGTCTGTGGTTCGACTGCAAGCAGCAGAGCTGGTCAAGTGGTGATTCAGGCATGGACAGGTTCTGTCGTTGGACCAATTGATGTCATGGGCCCGCAGGAATCCCCGAGGCAAGGGCAAGGCGATGCGCAGGACCAGGAGTGAATCATGGAGCCAGCAGACAGGGCAGGCTGGGGCCTTGCTTGGGTTGGTTGGTGGAGGGCCTAGGCTGGTCGGGCTGGGTTCAAGGCCCGCCGGCCAGGATAAGACCTGGGTGAGGGTTGGGGAAGGAGACAGGGAAGCTTCCCTTACGAAAAGAGATCTGAGCGCCTTGGCCGAGGCGAATCTCACACGTCCGCCCCAACCCAAACCACCACCTTGCTGACTTGCAGCTTGACGGTTGCATCAACATAGCCCACGCCTAAACCCCGCAATGAGCCGTCCCCAAGAGCATTCCAGGTCAAGCCAAAAGATGCATTTACTACCAAGAGAGGAACGCAAATGCTTACCCCCGAAAATTGCCCCCCCCCCCCCCCCCATCCTGAAAGAAGAAAGTTTTCTCGCAGGCCGCTTCGCCTGCCGCCTGCGCCCCACCCGCCGCGCGGCTTCCCGGCGCGGCCAGGGCCGGGGCCGCGGCAACCGCGGCGGTGCTCGCGGCGTCCTGCGGCGCCGTTGCTCGCGGCGGCGGCGGCGGCGGCGGCTCTCCGCTGCAGGCGGGAGTCCTCAAGCATCGCCAAAACACAGTCTGTTGACCCCATAATAGTCAGCCCCAGTTCACCTGGTTGAACCATAGGTCAGTAATTGTGGGTCAAGGTTGAGCATGCTAGATTTGTTTGGTTTTGTTTGATTCCTGGGCTGGAAGTTGGCCAAGTTGGCTTTTTTGGCTGCTTGCCTTCTTGGTGTGCCTGAATCGTCCCTTTCCATCAGCACAAAGTAAACCTTTGACACTAGACCTAAGGTTTATTTTCCCAAGTGGCATCGTAGGGTCGAAAGGTCTAGAGTCTGGCAGAGATCCGTTGAGTTGGTACCTTTTTTGGGGGGTAAAGGGAGATCAGCAACGAAGCTGAAACCGGGGTGCAACTTACACAAGACACGCAAGTGTCTGACAAAAGTGTTTCTTTTTCTGCGCTTGCGAACGGTTCACGCGCAAAAGCAAGGGATTCCGGGCATTGTGAATACTCTATAAACGCTGGGATCTGTTTCTTTCGGTGGTTTGAACGCTTCGACCTTCTAATATGTTGCCTTGAAACATGACCATTCCCCTACTAAGAGGCTTCACTTGGGGGCTCACACACACCATCCCATCCCGTTCCGGCTCGCGATTTTTTGTTTGCAGAGAGAGTTGGGTATCTAGCAATGCCCTTCTTTCCTTGACAGGATCTTGAACAAGCTTGAAGCTGCTTGTCAGTTTGTCAGTTAAGTGACAATCAGGGCTCGGCTTTGATATTGGCAAATTCAATTATGGCGAAAGCTCCCCACCCATGTTGGTTGCCTGTGTTGGCGCACCTCACATTGCGTTTTGTTACTGGGCGCGGCTGAGGTGTCCCAGACGTGAAATCAACCAGTCAATTGGGGTGATGCACCCTCCTTTTTTCTGGATCAACCCAAGCTTCGGCACTCCAGGCTGACCAATCACTCACACGATTTGGGAGTGCTTCGGGGTGCTTGGCTCTCTTGTGATTGAGCCCTCTCGTTTCACCGATTGAGGCTCAGCAGCATATCAACTCGGTGTTGCTTGCCTCGACACTTTGGTTTCACCGGTTTTGTTTTGGCAGGAAATTGATTTCCTCCGACCTTCCTTTTGGCCTGGCCTTCGGCTTATCCCGACTGCCAAAGAAATCCCGCAAGTGGTCTCTAAGCTCCGGACCTTGCCATTCTTGAATTGAAGGGTAGAAGGCCAGGGCCGATCAGGGTGCGCGCTCTGGGCCGGTCGTTTCATTGGCGCGGGCTCGTGCAGAAGTCGTGCCCCCTGATGTTTGTGTGCATCTCGACTGCGCAGGCTCACGCCGCGTGCGTGCGCGACTTTGGCCTCTTTCTAGGGCTTGGTCTCGCTGTGGTGTTGTGCAAATTCCGGAAATGCTGGATGGAGCCTGCATGTCGTGGCAGGCGCAGCACTCTATTCTGGGAAGGGCAGGCTGCTTTGGCAGGCGCAGTGCAGATGTCGTGGCAAGCGCAGTACTTTGGTGCTTCAAGTGGTCAGTAGCGCTGGCTCGGTCCTTCCCCCCCTGGCCACGTCCTGGGGGCATCCTGAAAAAAGGAAGCCAAGCGTTTGACGGGTTGCGTGTTCTTGGTGGGCTGGATGAAATTCCACCAGTGCTCGGGCTGCTCTTTGCAAGATGGTTGCTACTTTGACTTTTGGCAGATGACCACACCTCCAAGGTAGGAAGCTGGCAAACGGCGTCGTTTGGCTTCCCATACCGGTGAGCTAACAAGCCATCGCACGAAGATCTCAGTCCAGCAAATGCGGAAGAGGCGTGGCGCATGCAGCCTGCGAAAGGCGAGGCTGAGCACCAGGATGCGAAAGGGAGGCTCCTTTTTGATGCGTGGCTTTGGTTTTGAAGGGCGACCGCTTGTTATGAGGTCTTAGCTAGGGTCGGCCTGCTTCAGCACGCTTTCGTCAGCGCGCCTGACTTACCCTGGATTTTTTCTCCGCGCGCGCGGTTGGCGTGGTGTCTCTCCACGTTTCTCGGATGGCGCCTGTGCCAAGCCCGCGTCTGAACGAAACAAAACGATAAAAACGCAAGCGCGCCGAGCAGGTTAAAGACTGCCGGACCTCGTACTTCTTGTCGGCGCAGAGCCGCTTTGCTGGGCAGACTCGGAGACGACCGGTTCCACCCTGTTGGCAGTTGGTCGTTCCAGCGAGTGCCCGAAATTGCGCCTTTGCCGTCTACAGCTTCGGCCTGCTGCCAAAGTGTATGTTCATTCGATTGTTTGTTAGCATTTGACGCCGCGGCGGTTTGCCAGAAAAACGGCCAAGGCAAACATTGCAAACAGTTTTCTACGCAAGATACATGGTAAGCTTATGGCGTTTCAATCCGAAAGAATGCGATGAGCAGCCGGAAGAACACATGGGTTTGTCTCAGAATAGCGCCGCGCCCTCTTTTGGGTGAGAATCCAAAAAGTCACCACCTACTACCCTGTCGGCACCTTTTTTTTGAGAGTCGCCAAACTTTTCGAGGCGGCGTTGCCTGCTCGTGGCGGAGGCAGGTGTTCCAGAACGTTGCTGGGTGCAGCGGGGTAGAATTCGGAGATATGTTTCCTTCTTGGCGGTGGCCGAAAGTGAAATGCTAGAATTTGTATCAAGCTTCTATCTAGCCGCAATCATGTGGCAATTTGTTTTTAGCCGGCTGGTCAAATGCTTGTTTCCGCTGCCTGATGGGGTTTGGGTTTATTTGTCAAGCCAAAGAAGCGAGCATGTGTTTTGTCGCCTGAAAAGGTCATGGCGCGGCGCACAGGGGTTCGGACTGGACTACGCATGTCTAAGACGCCTGACCACTTCCCTGGGCAAAACGAAGTTGGTGCTGTTGGATCACTTGATGGCTTTGCATGCTCAGCAATCTGCCGGGCGATTGGTCAACTTTATCATGTTTGTTGGTCACAAGTTTCTGAACGTGCCCGCCTGTTTGCGTGTTCAGCGTGCTCGGGGCATTGCCCTTTGTTTCACTTTGGTTGGTTTTGTTGTTTGCGCTCTATTCCAAGTCTTCGGGGGAGCCGCAGAAATCGTTACCGCTGATTAGTACCCCCCCCCCCCGCCCCTCCCCCTCTTCAAGGTCGACAAGGTTTGGACAAATCCCCAAAACTAAGATTGTTTGGAGGCCACACCTGATGAATCAGGAGCCCCTTCGGTCCTCGTCCTCTTACTTCTGGCCCCGTCTGGGCAATAGGACTTTAAAAGGAAATTGTTTTTTTGATTTCGAACGAACTTTAACGAAGAAAAATGTGTTTTGGGGGAAGCACATTTTAGGGAATACTTGAGGAGTTCAATAGTGACTTAGTATTGGTGGGTTGAAGGACAGACTAAATACTGAGCAACAAGGAATGCCCCTTTTCTGGCGGGATATATACGTTGAATCAGTGCGATTTTGACAAGACCCGAACAAATATTGACTAGGCATTTTGGGCAAACCTTGTTTAGTATTGGTGGGAATCTGGGAGGGCAAAGGGAAACCTTGAATTGGGGAGGGGGCGGTGACATTGCTTACCAACCTGCAGGATGGGAAGGGACAGTCGCAGCGAACCGCATGAGGTTCGGTCAAAATCCCTTTTTGTCAGTTTCAGAGACACGGGAAAGCTCACTTACTCAGTGACACGCTTCAGTGCCAGAAGTTTATTTCCCCTGTTTTAGGTGGACAAGGCTACGACGTGTAACCTAACTTGGTTGTTGTTGGGAAACATTTTTAACATTTTCGCTTGTTGTGGTTTAGTGGTTAAAATCCCCACTCAACTGCTAAACAATAAATTGTCGCTCCCCTTCCAACGTCAACCAAGTAATTACGAAGTGCCCAATCCCTCTTTGGGAAGTAAAAACACGGGCCAATCACTTTGTTCTTGGTTGGAAAAATACATCTTTCTAGGGGTACCTTCCCCATTCTTTCCAGGGATCCTTCTTTCCAGAAAACCTCCAGAAACCCTGGAAAAACGGCAGGTTTTTGGAAAGAACGATGCTTGAAAATAATGGGAACTCAACCCCTGGAATCTTGCTATTGACGTAGGTTTCAACCTTCGATGGCGAGAAGCGGCGGTATTTTCAGGCCCCGGAACCTTTCCGGCGAGGCTCCACGGTGAACCCAGACCGCAAAGTCATGCAAGGTCCCAAAGCTTTGTGGTGTTGGGGAAAAAGGCCAACCAGTTTTCAAGAATTTGCCTCAGCTCATGGCAGGGGTGGGCAATGTTTGGCTTGATCACATCGGCGCAGGCCAAGACAGTACCAGCGCTGCCATCTGAGGCAGGGGTGGCCTTAGCGAAGGCCTGAATAATCAGAATTAGGTCGTTGGGTACGTAGCATTGGACATCGCCATTCCACCAATTTGCAAATGGCCATGGGTCAAAAGCCAAATCGTACCCCCAGTGAACATCCCAATGCAACCACTAAAATCGGTTCTAAAATGGGTGGTGAATTCACCTACCAAAATGGGATCCCAAAACGGTTTTGACCCACGGCCAAATAGTTTCTCCCCATTTCAGGGTAGTTTTCTTCCCAGGTGCAGGATCCAAACCAATGTTGTCATGTTTGTGGCTTCACTGCAACGTGTGTTCAATCAAAAGGGCCCTGGCCTTTCCAGGAAATCTAGAGCAGGTTCCTCAAACAGCATGTGTGTTCCACGCGGTTAAACAGGAACCATGCATCCAACAAAGTCTTGAGCAACCAAGTTGGTAAACCAAACCAAGGCCTTTGGGAATCTTACCGGGAATCCCAAAAAACATGTAGGTTGCGAGGGTAGGAAATGAGCGAACGGGGCAATTTAGTAGATTCTGGTTGCACAAAAATGGGGGTGATAGCAAGATCATCAATTGGCCTTTGGCTGAAATTGCCTTGGATCCAGTTGGCACCCTCGTGAGCAACTGATTCCTCTTGCATTTTTTCCTGTTGCTTACCCAGAATTCACTTCGGGGGTCCTATTCGATACGCGTCCGAAATCTTGGGGCCCACCGGCGGTGCGACTGGTAGAGACCGACGCTGCACCCGCAATGCATGCAGATCAGTTCACTCGCAAGGGATGAGGGTCTTGCTGAGGGTCTTGCTCATCTTTCAAGTCTCTTTAGACCTAAGTGCCCCAGTAGTGCCCTTGTACCCTTTGTTGGGGGAGGGTTCCCCTACTAAAATAGAATACAGAAAAAAGGGTACCCTCATTCTAACCTCTGTACTGTGTACTGGAGGACCTAGAGACATTTGTAACACAGTTTACAACAATCAACAAGTTCGAGCAGTAACCCAAAGTCTAGCTGGCTTTATCTTCCATTTGCTTAAGAATATGTTTTTATTTTCCCCCGTTGGTTTTAAAGTGAATCTATCACAACTGGAAATATTGTTATTTTTTCCAGGGGTCTTAACCAAATGGAAGTTATTGCGCCGATTCTGTGTGCAAGAGTCCATGCAGGCAGCCTCACAAGTGGCACCAGTCGAACCCTTTTTGGTCTGGATCGCACACTTATGTATTCTGATACCTGCACAATACCTGTATATACAGATCACTCCCGAGGGAGAGCGGCTTGCCCACTGTGGTTGCCCTTGCTGTTATGGTGTCCACGACAGATTGCGGTTTAGGATTTAGGAATAGAGAGCACTCAGTTTGAGCCAACCGGTTTGTTTCCACGCAGAACTCCACCTTGCTGATGCCTACTGGTGTTTGGCGCATAGCTCAAATTTCCGGAGTCTTCGTCGAATAGCAGCTGTTTGCAAGGGAAACTGAATCATTTGTCTTGACTAACTTTTTGTTGCCCCTTTGTAGTTCCTCGATCACTTTTGCAGTTTGGCCCAGGGTTTGTACTTAGACCAGTGGGACATGTTGGGTCGGGTTCCTCTCATTGTTCCCCAGACACCCAGTGCCGGGGTTCCTTTTTGGAGGGGGTATATCATGGTATATCCCAACATCAGCCCCAAAAGGGGTGCCATGGCCAATGGGGGTCTGTGGAAGCATTCTGCAAAATGGGGTCGACTTGCCCAACCCCGAAGGGGCAAGGGTCAAAAGGCTGAGCGAAGGCCAGCCCTTCCTGGCTATCAAAACATACAGCACAAGAACGCTGGCTGTGACCGCCCTACGCGAATCGACCTTTCGGGTGTCCGTTTGCAATCATGTGTGTCGCATCCGCAAGGAACTCAAGTGTTAGAACCCATTTAGGGTCACCCAAATAACGGCCATCTACAAGCGGGTGGGGGTGGGCAATAGTGGCCAACTCGTTGATATACAGCTGAGATACTGATGACGAAAACTTGGACCAGTTGGGATGGGTGAAGCAACATGAATACAAGTATATGTACCAACTGAACCCTGGTGTTTGTTCATCGGCAGTACGACCGTTATTAGTGCAAATTCCAAGGATTGGACAGAGCAACAAGCGAACAAACAAACAAGCAAGCAAGCAGACCAGCAACACAAGCAAAGAAGCAAGCAAGCAACCAACCAATCAAGCAAGCAAGCAATCCAACAAGAACCAACAAACAAACGAACGAACAGGCAAACAAACGAACACCACACAAACAAAACCACACAAACAAATGAACAAACAAACCAACAAACGAACAAACCACAAACAAACCACAAACAAACCAACAAACCAGCAGGTGGACGACTACCGGGTGCGCGCGGTGTGCGTGTCCCCCTCCCCGCCCTTGCCGAATCGCGACCAGCTCCTCGCTTTCAGTCGCTTTTGAGCTGTGTTTTGTTGATTCAATCCATTTTTTTGGTTTCAATCGCTTGCTCCGGGTTATGTTGTGTTGAATTCGAGCTGATGTCTGAGATGTTAGTCGCCTTAAGCTGGCTCAAGTTCAAGCTGGTGTCACATGATTAGAGTTTGTTGTCTTCAATTTGTTTTATGTTGTCGAGTCTTTATTATTATAATTTGAGTTGTTCGATGATGTTTTAAGTTGTGTTAAGTTGTGTCGAGTTGTTTTGAGTTGTTTCGTGATGCTTTAAGTTGTTTTCGGTTGTCGAGTTGTTCGAGTTGTTTAAGTTGCTGTGACGTACTTTGTGAGTTGCGATAAGATGAGACAAGTTGTTCCAGATGTTTCAAGTTGCCGGAGCTTGTTGTTTTGGGGGGGTGCTCTGTTTGGGAATTCATGTTGGGCTGGTCTATTCTTGCGACTACAGGGGCAGAGCGGGGGCGGCAGGCAAGTAGTTTGTGCGCATTGGCATGACACGCCAAAGCCATGGTTGTAAGTCCTCTAAGAGGGTTATAATCATGGGTACTCACCACCCACTAAGTGGACCTGCCCGTGAAAGCCAGTTTGTCAGCTTTTTTTTTGCTCGAGGGAGGGCTGCGTTAATTCAGGGACCTACTTGGCTTATTTGTGTTGGCCTTTGATCGGTTTTCACTTGACAGTTGTTGTCTTTTTGACCACTCGCGGGGGGGGGGGGGGGGTTGGGGGACCTTTGGATGTTCCCGAGAAATGCTCAGTTGTGGGTGGTCCAGGGCCGTTTGAAGAAGCCAAACATGGTTTGGGAAGAATATGTGTTGTACCTCCTTTTTGTTCGGTGAGTCCCCCACTAGTTGCTTCACCTCTGAAGATGTAAAGCCCTTTTTTTGGGGGAGCATGTGTGGTGGTTCCCCCTTCAACAAGGTATGTTCCACCCCTCAAAGTGGTCGCTGTGCATTGCGCAGCGCGCAGCTCGGACGAGAATAGTCCGCCGAGGATTTGCACGCTGGTGGTGTCAGACGTGGAGGACTGGAAAGCCATTGGACTTGGCTCATTTGGCTTGGGTTCAAAACCGTTTGGGGATCCCATGTTCGGGTTTTCAGTGAATTCACCACCCATTTTAGGCCACCGGTTTTAGTGGTTGGATTGGGATGTTCACTGGGGGGCTACGGGGTTTTGACCCAATGTGTTTGCTTTGCATTTTTTTGGGTTTCCATGATGGTCCCTTTGCACCAGTGAAAAAATATGTTTGTTTCAAGTGGTCTAGCTCCTGTTGGAAGTTTGTTGCATTCAGATTCAGTGAATGGCCGGTTCGCAGCTGCCCTGCTGGAGTGCTGTCCCTTTGTCAGAGTCTTGGCCTCGAAGAGTCCAGCTACTGCCATGGGAAAGATTGCGAGAATATCACCACGCGTCCGGTTGATTGAGGTTGATGCTTTTGTCGGTAAGGCGGACTGAGGTTGAGAAAGGTCCTCGGTAACGCAAAGTACGGATGGAATGATGTCTGGACAGGTGACGCAGAGCAGCTGAATGCGTCCCAAACGCTTCCGATGTGGTTCGGCGCCACATGTGGCAGACCGTTCATCAATTCTTACCACGAAACAGCTTGATGTCGATGTCACCGCAACTGGAAGATTGGAGCACCAATGTGCAATTCTCGAATATCAAGTTGCGAAGTCTCGTCGAGAAACGAGCACTTGAGACAGTACCGCAAGAGCACTGGCAAGAGTATTGCAGAAGTTCTGAAAAGAGTACTACGGGAGTACAAAAGGAGGACACTAGTGCCAAATAGGGAGAAGAACAGGTGGAATCAACAAACAGCGCCTCACCGTTTTGAGATGTATGATCCCTGATCCCTGTGACTTCCCTCATCTTCACTCCGTGGAAAGAAGTATCTGGTTGCCAAGACGCCTGGTGACATGGGCTGTATCAGCCAAAGAGGTGTCCGCTTTTCCCCTGGCCACTGGAATTCACAAGCAATCTCCGGGTGTTTCTCTCTATTTGAGGTTAAGAATTCTTGGAAAAGGTTGAGGAAGTACAGCCGGACGAACATGTTTGGGATTACACTCATTGGAAACGCAATGCACCCCTGATGAACAACCTCCCCACCAATCATCAACCAGTGAGACCAGCATCAAACAGTTGCCTTTTGTAGGGGGTCCAATCCCTCATTAGCGGCTTGCCCTGAAATGTCATCGGGATCCAAGTCCGGAAAGTTAATTGGGGACAGGGTGGGAGGGTCAACCTTCCTATTTCCTGTTCTGGGTCCAAGGGAAATCAAGTATTGGGGAGGAGGGGGTTGCGTTTTTTCCCCAGTTGCAAGTCGTGCCCGGGGGGAATGTTGTTTGTCTTGCACCACAACGAGTCGGCTCGATTTAGTGCGATACTAAAGGTTACCCGGTGCCCTGCCCTTACGAACGTGTTCCACGAGTTTCACAGTTTGCCGGAGTGCCCTTTCGACTGTTTTGAGGTTTTATTGATTGGTGCTTTGCCTTTCAGGCATTTTCAGGCAAGTTTGATGTGAGTTTTCTTTGAGGGATTGATGTTCAAAGCGCTAGTGTAGGAACCCTACAACACGGCACCCCTTTTCTCCAGAAGCGCCGGGCAAGCAAGATTCAATATACTATAGTAAACTTACTGCAAACACCACTCTCTGTGCAATCAACGTGGATGAATCACTTCCAATATTTCAGATTTAGGTGACTCCCCGTACACAAGCAACAAGCAATCGTATTGCTCTAAGGTTTGGTAGAGTATGAGGGGTGTCAGGCCGCTTTTTTCGGCTGTACTCCCCGTCCATTCTTTCCTGGGATCTCTTTTAGAACATTGCCCAAGGACCCAGGGAATTGTGGAGGTTTCCCAAAACGGGTGAAGATGCAGAACCTTTGGAAGCAATAACTTTGGGCAGCAAAAGTGCTCACATGAGATGTCGGAGGTGCCAGATGTTAGCGGTTTACCTCGTTATGTTCATCCCACCTCCAGATTGCGGATTGGAATAGGCACCCCTTCCGCATGTTGTTTCAGTTTTGTGGGTGTTGAGTAACTGGAACATCATTGTTATGGAAAACCACCCCTAACCACACCAGCAATCCATGAGTTGATGGAACCCACCAGTTCATTTGGCCTTTAAACAGTCGCCATCGCTTTCACCCCCCTCCCCCTTGCCTGGGGCCTTCTGAGGCTCAAAGCAAAGCCCAAAAACCATTGGGGTCTGGTTGGATGGTCATCCAAAGTTTTGGGCCGGCCAGGACGAGGAGGCCATGGACAAAGTGATGTGGCACCCTGCGGTGCCTCGGGCTCGCCGGGTTTGGGTGCTGAAACGACTAGGGAGACGGAGCCCCATGGGCCTAGCCAATCTTCAATAATGTCAAGCCCGGATTAATAAACCTCTGATTGATTTTTAAGGGGGGTGTCCCCTTTTAGTGGGGATTCATCACTTTTGACTTTTGGAGGGAACACCCCCCTAAAAATGGGACGGGTTTATTGAGCCTGGGTTAACATTATCCACAACGCATGGGTCGTAGTGGTTAGTATCAGCTGGTCCTTCTCAAAGTAAAAGCTTGTGTCCCCCCACCCCCCCCCACCCGGGAGCTGTGTCCCCCCTTGGCATTTGAACGTTTGCCTGACTCAAGCACGGCCGCGTTGGGTTGACTGCCGATGGGATGCCTAGATTGGAGGCGCGGCCTGCCCAGTGAACAATCCCTGCAAAGAGTCAGATCAACGGTGTAGTTTTCCTCCTGCATGAACGACTGCCCCCTGATCTACCCGCTTCACCTCCGTGTTGCCCCGCTTGAAACGCACTAAAGTACGCTCATTTTCCAGTGACCGCTCAAGTTGCAGGTGGTTCAGCTCCGGCAAAGCAACACCACATTGTCTTGGGTAAAAGTTCTGACCATAGTTTCGTCGTTTGTTTGGTTTTCACATCATTTCTTGAAGAGGCTGAGTTCAACGTGAGTTTCTCATTCCGAATTGTTCGCCACAGAAATCCCATCCAAAAATTGTCAATCGAAGAAGTACCAGGTTCACCTGGCAACCCAGATGATGTTTGGTCGAACATTTTGTAGTCTGGCTTCCGCGAGCCTTGATCCTTCGCGGCAATCGCTCCACCCCCAAACTGGGCCTGATCAGGTCCAGCTCATGAATGCGTCAAATGCCTTTGCATTGCAAAACTCGTCAAAACGCAAACTGTGGGTTTGCATGCAGATTGCTGACATGTCAGTGTCAAGTGGCATTCGAGTTAAACGAGTAGCTAGGCTGGCAGGTCATGATTTGGACTTTGCACAGTGGCATTTTGCACCGGAGTTCTCTCCATTGAGCACGGATTGGATTTGTGTACTGGGTCCAGTTTGCTTTGGTGTGTGTCTTTGTTTCCCCGAGTCTACTAAGTGTCTACTGCAAGTCTGCTTGTTTGCACTTTGACAATCTGTTTGACGATGTCCTGATCACTGACTGCCAGATGGCCCCCTTCCCTCAAATGGTATACCAGCGGATTGATATTTATGTTTCCTCACGACATCTAACAACCTTCACTTTCAGAACACAATCTAAGTGCAACGTAGATTGGATGCAAGTTTGCGGCGAGGGTACTGTGGCCTCACCCGATGAAGGTTCCTGAAAAGACGGGGAACATCATGATACATCAGGAACTTGGTTCCGCTTGACTTGTGTCTGTCTGCTTTTCGAAACTTGGCGTTCCTTCATTGCACGGTTTGTTTGAATTTAAGATCATCGCCTTTGGGGTTGTCATTTGAGGCTTGCTGGCCCCGTTCTCACTATGGCACTATGGAAGGGGATGATCATGGGTGGTCTTTTGCCTGGTATCAGAGAAATGTTCAAACTTGGATTTCCTTTCATTTTCCCCTTAACACAGCTCCACGTTGGATACCCTCAAAGACACCAAGTTGCAAAAACCCTCAAAAGACACGCGGATGGGTGACATGTTTTCCTTGCACTTTGAGACCGCGGCTTTGTGCCCCACTCCAATCAAAAATGTTCGGGCCCGTAGCCATATGGCTGTGGCTCCAAAAAGTGGTACCAGAATTTGGCATCAAAAGGTAAATGGAAGCAAAGACTAAACCCCGCGTCACCCCAGGACTTTCATTTTGAGCCATACCCATAAGACAAGAAGTCGTCTTGGCGGTTGGCCGTCGAGCTGAGCTTTCTTAGGTGGGTTCCTCCGCGCAGCAAGCGATTTCTTTGCTCCGCCGCTCGCCCGCAAGCCGGAAGCCGGGCGAGGACTAAGAATCTAAGACTGGATGTTCACTCCAAGGGTTCCTGGATGAATACCCTTATGCAAATATCAAACGCATGGAGATACAGGACAACCTGCTTTGTTCGAGCCTCAAATGTTTCCTCGGAAGCCGCACCACCTTTGCTCGGTGTGTTCGGCACGATTCTTTGGTAAAGGACGGTCTCACCATTTTTGCAACCGGCGAGAGATTTGAACAGACGGGTTACATCAATCCCAAAGCAATGTCAGAACCAAGCAGCCCTGAGTGTCGAGCACTCACACAGTTGGGGTTTCACTGGTACTCAACAGGCTGTACGGGCTAAGGATGTCTTCTGAAGAAAATGGGGTTGTCTACTAATCGTGTAAATCTCAAAGTATTCGTTCGAAACAGCCAACAAAAATGGTGCCAACACACAATGAACCGCAACCAAGTGAGCAGTGTTTTTCCAGTGCATATGATTGCCAGAAAGTCTCCCGCATGTCATGTTGTGTGAGTAGGTTGTCCGGCTTTTTGTGGGGCAAGGGGTTGGATTTGTGAAAGGTCTTGCTTACGACCAGGTTTTGTTTTGAGGGCACCCTTTTTGTAAAGGACAACTAACAAAAGGAAATGTAATGATTGTTGATACCCCAAGACACACACCAATTTGAGACACCCATATGTGCAAGGTTGCACACCCTAGCTTGTCATGTTTAGCCGAACACTCAAAGTGTTGGGGGACGCTTGGTTTCTCGAAACAGATGGCACCCGCAAGGTGATGGTTTTGTGCGACATTTGTCCAGGTGGTAGTGGACTGGAGGGGTAACCCCAGCAAAACCAATAGTATGCTGTCAGGCCTAAATTTGGTGTTTGAAGTGCTGCAACCCCATCCTATCAACCTTTTGTACCCCAATGGATGTGACTTAAATCGGGGTTCGCCCTCTGCACCGGGTGAACCTTAATATGGCGCATTTCCCCATGCGGAGATTGTTTCTTTCACACAGCCTCTCCTCCATTCTGTTGATAGTTTTAGGGACCGGGTAGACTAAGTGCAGGTGGCTGTCTTTTTGAGGGTCCCAGGCCAAAAGGAAGACCAGAATTTTGGGGGTCCGACCTTAAAAAGAAGCACCCGTGTAAAACAGCGCTTGAAATTGGTGTTTCTTTCTTTGGATACCCATGGCCCATGTTTGGTTGGTTTGAAAGGAAACCAAGCGGACAACCATTGTTGGAGGTCTTAATGGGCTAATTTGGGCTCGATCCCCTCAACCGGGGGAAAGAAGCGGTGAAATCCGCCAAAAAGCGGCGGCAAAAAGCGGTTTTCTGGATCAACCTCTTTAACGGGTAACTTTTACGGGAAAACCAGGCTGCCTGGGGCTTACGCCTTGGGAAGCTTCACGGAGGAAGGGTCCGGTGCCTGGCTGGTGCGATAGGAATGAGGGAATGATCCCTATAAACCATCCCTGGATTTTTGTTGAAGGGGATCCCGAAACGGTTCATTCCCAACACCCGGCCGGGGGCATTCCCTACCTCATGAGAACTTGGGGGGGGGGGCCAAATAGCCAAATACGCCACAGAGAAGGCCTCAAGGCATGATTTATGGCTGAAAAATATGGCTCCCTCCCCTCCCCCCTCCCTTTCTCCCCCCCAGCCCCAGGTGACGCCTTCGGGGTGCTGGGTGTATGGCCCGCCGCCTGGGTCGCGGCGCAGCGTGTGCGGAACCCCAGCTGGAGCCCGGCGCTCGTCTACCCCAGCAATTGGTGCCCTTTCTCACCCGTTTCTTTTTTGGGGAGGACCGTTCCCCTACTAAAATAGACAAAACTGAAAAAACATCGGGTACCAACTTCTCTCAAATCTGGAGGACCTAGTTGTGGTTTTGTTCTTTTTTAGGCTGGGGGATGAGTGGTGCTTTGTCTTCCGAGGCCGGCGGCGGTTTTTTTGTTGTTGGTTTCTTTGAGGGCTGCTTCTGCTTGAGGCGAAGGGATCCTCTCTTGGTGGGGAAACCCGGGTTCGAACCACCCGTCATGGGGCTGGTAGGGATGGTCATGGCAGATGTGGGCATGTGTCAAAATACGGGAGCGCCCTGGTGGTAGCTTGCCATGCGGCTTCCTGTGAATCAACCTGAAAAGGGCACCTTCAAAAAGCCACCCACATGTGCCAAGACACCCTCTTTCCTTTTGGAAAGTTGATAGGGAAGGGAGAAAATCAGTTTTGACCATATCGCACACGCACACGCAAGTTGTTACACCCAGGCTTTGAGGCAAAATTGGCAACATCTTGGCCAAGTCAGTTGCGATGCCGGTGAACCCGAGTACAGTCCCCGGGGTGAAA